ATGCACCATTATTCTTGGAAATAACATTAATGAAAGGCTTAATTTTTCATGCCCGCCAGGTTCCTGATATTCACAGGGTGTAATACAATGGGAAGAGAAAGGGAGTTGAGCTGTATCTACACACACTATACAAGACTCCTGCCATGCAAGGGCTCTATCTACAAATAGCCAGAGTGAATCACATGTAAGACAAAGTAATCAACAATTTTGAGCTATCTGGACGTTATAAATACTGTTTAGAATCATAGAATGGTCTTAAAGGCCATCTGGTCCAACTGCCCTGCACTGAACAGGGACACCTACATCTGATCATGTACTCAGAGCCCCATCCAGCCTGATCTGGAGTGTCTGCAGGGATGGGGCACCCACCCAGGATACATGAAAAGTGCTCTCAGTCATAGAAGTCCAGTGTTGAATCTTAAGGAATACAACCCTTTGCACTAGGGTCCCACCAGCCTGTGTCTATGTCACATCTCACAGAGCTTTATGTCCAGAGCTGAGAAAAACTTTCCAGGAAAACTTCAGAGTTCACAGATAGTTCTAGGAGTGTCTCTGCCTACACACACATCAAGTGAATGAGGAAATGCCCACGAACACCAAAATGCCATTCAGGGTCTGGCAGAACAATTGGACACGTTGGGACTGGAGTGGGAATCTGCATTTCCTGCTGGGGCATGTGTGTTTTTTTTTCTTTTTGTTAAGTTCCTCTCCCCAGTACCCTTGTGAATACCTGGGTCAAAACCAAGTTCCAAGTTCGTGAAGGCATTTCTGGGTCCTGCTGCATTCCTATTGTATTGTGAAAACTTTTGGATTTGTTTCATGTTACCCTGACTTGAACAACTCTCATCTTTTTTTATTTCTGTTGCAAATTAAAGGTCCATTACTTCAGTCAGGTGCATTAAAAGAGCATTGCTTTTGCTTTAAATGAAAGTTCATAGGATCACAAGCTACCCCGAGTAACCATGGCAAAGAATTCACTATCTAACCACATCATTAATAATACTAATTATCAAGACAATACAAAAAACCTGAAATTCAACTGTAAGAGCTGAACTGCCAGAGCAGAAGTCCTCATCTGTCAAATGAAGTCAAGACATCCCCTGGGGAGACTTTTTTCAGCATTCTGATTTCTCCTTGCATCTCAAAAGGCTTTCAAGCAAAGCAATTAACTTGGTACTAATAAAATAGGTTTCCTACCAGCAGGCCATGAGTCCCATGTATGGCAACACACCTAGAGAAGCAGTGGTGGATAGCCAGATTATCAAGGTACGTTGGGCGTTGATACCCTCCTCTCTCATCGACATCTGCAGCCATATGAAAGTGCACAGGGTAACTGCCCAGGATTTGCTGCCCCATGTTTTTTAACTCCACACCTGACATGTGCACAGAGCTGAAATTCGCTAGGATCTGTTGAGAGAAATGTAGATCCAAGTAAGTTGTTGCAACAGAAGTATACAGAAAAAGAAAAGCTTTTTTTTTTCCTATTAAGCAATATGTTTGCAACACAAGGCAGGGCCTGATCCCACGGGGTGCCAGCTCCCCACGGTGACTCACAGCAGCACCTGCAGAGGAGCTCCAAAGAGAAGCTGCCAACCAGAATGCAAGCATTCAGCAACAGCTGTGTGTCAATACATTAACATCTTCACAGACAAAACACCCCTACCAGCTACAGAAAGAGATGATGTTTACCAACAGGCTCTATTTCATGACAATTTAATCTCTGTCAAGTGATCTTAAGCCAGACCTGCACAGATTTCCACCAACTGGCAATGGATTTATTTTACACAAAGCTTCTGGAACAGCAAAACTTTGAACATTGACCGAGAACCCTTGGGGCAACCCAGAGAAACCAAAGCACAACAGGAGGACCCAACACTCAGCTGAGCACTGAATGGAGCAGGTTGCTCAGTAGGTAGTACAATTCCTTTAGCAATATCATGCAACATGTGCAACTTCACATTGACCCAACTGCGATGGAGCTGATGAATCTCCTCTGGCATAGAGAAGAGCACGTTTTTGTGTACGTGGTGAACAAATGGGCACAGCCCCATTGCAAGTCTCATTGCTGGCAAAGCAGGCCTGCAAACCTTCCCCACAAATATCCTTTTTCCCCCAGACATAAATGGCAGATTCATGCATTATACTGCTCATCTACAAGCCAAGAGAGGAACTAACTGAACCCACCTATAGGAATATGCTTTAAAAATCTCTTACTTTAATATGTCCTCCAAACGTGTCAAAGGAGAAAAACTGACATTGATTTTCTCCATAACAGGAGTCTTCCATTTCTCCTTGGATAAGTATATTTCTAGTCAGAAGACCGACCTCTGCCCTCATATCGATGCCGTCTATGACTTCGCCAATATGAAGATAAAGTGGGCTGCCTGTGGAAATTGGAAACCTTTTTGTTCAGGTGAGCACATGTTCATTATTGCATTGCTCTAAGCAAGTGCACGCCTTTCCTTCAAGCAATCACTGAGTTTGGGACATGCCCAGCAATTAATGACTGATCCACAGGAGATCAGCACTTCCCTTGAGTTTTACAAGAGGCAGCTTCCTCAGGTCAGATTTTAAGCCCCAGTACAACACTGGGGCCTTTCAGGTCTCCTGTGACAGGGACACGGGCTTATGGGACAATATGGCTTAAGGGGCCATGGTGGTGATGGGCTGACATGATCTTAGTGGTCTTTTCCAACCTTACAGATTCTATGATTTAGCTAAGAAGACTAATTAATGTAAATGTAGAATGTAAAAGACTTGACAATGTAAAGATTTACCTCAAATGAAAAGCTCAATAAAAAAAAAAATCTCATACCATCAATTTTCACTTGATTGCTTTTACATTCAGGGCAAGGAAGGAGGTTGAACTCCTCAGCCTGATGCATGGAATAATCCGTACTGGCAATGACGATCCTGTCACCAGGTAACCAGCTCCTAACATCATCCACTAAATGGAGAATTATTCCTTTGGACACCTCCACTTTAAACCCATTATGAGGCACTCCTGAAAAATGAAACAATCTATTTTTTTTTTTTTTTTTCACAGTTACACATGCCAGAATATTACAATTAACTGAAGAGCCACCAATGTTGTTTTTATCTAGATAACATCATGCACAGTAGAAGTGCTTTTGCCATCAGTGTGTCAGTGTCATTTCCTTGCAGGTGGCAAAAGGGGTACTTCATAAGAGTGCTGCTGTTAGTGTGGCCACCATGCATATGAGCAAAATCCAATGGTACAAATTGCACAGTTCAGATTCATAGCAGAGAGAAAAGACTGAGCAAAGCAACAGAAGACAAATTGTTATCAGCAAACACTAAACCTTTTATCCATCCGCTGAAAGCAGTAACAGTGAAACAGGTGCCATCGTAGGTGAGGAATTCTCTTTGGGCTACGGCTAACCCTGTTGTCCCATTCCCATGATACTCTCTCTTATCCTCTGCCGTCGAAAGCGGATCCCCTCCGAGGATCCCCACCAGCGCCCAGGGCTGCCTGTACGAGATGAGGAAGGAGAGTTCCGAGCTGCACCCCGCGACCCCAGGGAGGGACTCAGGAGAAGGCAGCGCGGCGCGGCCTCCATCCCTCCCTCTCTCCCTCCGGGCCCCTCCGCCGGGCAGCGCGGCGGCCGCGGAGCTGTCCATGGTTCCCAGACCCCCAGGGCCGCAAGTTCGAGCCCCGCTCCCGCCGCTCGCCCGCGCACTCACCTGTAGCCCAGCCGGGAGATGTGTTGGCTGCGCAAGCGATCCCGCAGCAGCAGCCGTGTCTCCACCGTGAGGCTGCGGGCGGCCGAGTCCCCCACGGCGGCCGCCACCACGCTGCCTTCGGGCTGCAGTGCCAGGAAGTCGCGCAGCCGATGGCACTCCGCGGCCCGCAGGTGGGTGTCGAAGCGCCCGGCCGCAGCTACCCGCCCCGTGCCGGCGTCCAGGACTCGCAGGTTGAGCCCGCGGCTGCCCCACTGCCTCTCCGAGTAGTAGGGACCGTGGCGGAGCCCTCCAGGGTGCAGGGTTTTATCCAGGAGGCTCCAGGAGCGGGGCCGCCGCCCGTGCAGCTCCAGCACCCCGCCGCGCCCCACGCCCAGGAATTTCTGCCCGAAGCCGTCCACGGCCGCCCCGTCGGCGGCTCTCCCGTACAGCGAGATGGTGGCCCGCGAGGCGTAGGGGCAGCGCTCCGAACCGACGTGCAGCTCCCCGCCGTCCCGGATGAGGATGTAGCGGGCCCGCAGCGTGATGGGCGGCCCGTGGGGGCGGTCGGCGAATACCACCTTCCCTGAGGGACGCGGGGAGAGGAGCGGGGTCGGAAGCTGGAAACGTGGGATACCACCCGCATCCATCCCCCTCTCGGTCCCCCGGGCCGCTTACCTCCGTCGCGAATGACGAGAGAGTGGAAAGCAGCGGAGCTCTCGAGCCGCAGGGCCACCCCCCGACCCACCACGGCGTGGCGGCGGGTGTCGGAGCCGGGGTGCCACGGGGCGAGGTGCGAGACAGGCTGCGGGCACGGCCCTGCAAGAGAGTTGGGGCAGCGGCAGCGCGGCGATGCGCGGCGGTGTGCGGGGAGCGGGGGTCGCGGTACCGACCTGCGCACTGCTGCCGTTCGCTGCTCCCGGCGCGTCCCGCGGCGGCACCGGCATCGGTGCGAGGGGCAGAAGGAGAGCAGCCCCGCTACCTGCTGCCCCAACACGTGCGGAGCCGCGCCCGCCGCTTCTCCGCGGCTTTGCACGGAGCCGGCGCAAGGACGCATTTGGCTTTGGATTGTTTCTTTTTTCTTCTTCTTCTTCTTTTTTTTTTTTCCTTTCTTTTTTTTCCTCCACCTAACCGCATACATGGAAACCCCTCCCTCTCCCCGCTCCGTACAACCCCGAGCACAGAGCGGCGACCACAACAACGGGGCGAACAGAGAGAGCCGACGAGAAGGAAAAAAAAAAATACAGCACCACCACCCCAGAGGCAGAACGACTGGAAGCACCGGCGGGTCCCAAACTCCGGCTGCAAAGAGCGCTTACCCAATGCCGGCAGCGCGGGGCCGCAAACTTTGGCGGCCGCCTCCCGGGAGCTCCCGACACGGCTGCTGGGCAAGGACAGAGGCAGAGGTAGGGGCAGGCAGGCGCAGGCAGCTCCCGCTCCTCCACTCCGGCTGCCTCCCCTCTGCCTCCCTATTTATATCCATCTTCCAGCCGCCGGCGGTGCCCGCACTGTTTACAGCAGCTCCGGCTGCTGCTGGCTCCTCCCAGCCGGGAACGATCCCTCCAGCCCGGACTGACATCCGCGGCCGGCGTCCAGATGCTGGGGCTGGGGAGAGCCCCCCTGCCAGGCTCCGAGCCGCTGGAGCTGGCCCAGCATCCCGGGGGGGTACCCTGGGGACTCAGAAGACCCGGCTACACTGTGGGGTTCAGGGCTCGTTTTGGGTCCCCAGGCACAGTGTGTGCTCCCATGGGGTGCCCTGTCCTACAGCTTTCTATGGGGAACATCAGAACCCAAACATCCCCCATGACAGCGGATGAACAGAGAAGTGTCTGTCGCCTAGCCTCATGTCACCAGGCTAACCTGAATGCAGAGCCAGAGAATTCCCTTCAGAAAGTACCTCAAAGAAATCCACATGCATTTACCCCTCTGGCATGGCCCACGCTCCTCACTCTTGCAGACACCTGCCCAACCTCCTCCTCCTCGGTGCACATGGCAGTGCTACCCCATGTTTATTTTCCATAAACCAGAATATCACCTTTTCCCCGATCACCTTCTCCCTAGGCTGTAAAACACAGCAGAACAGAACTTCCTGGGGACACCACTTACTTCAGTCACTCCTTCCCATCCCTCATCCCTGCTCTGCATCCCAACACCCAGCAACAAGGCCAAGCCAGAAGGCAGCAGTGCTCCCACATATGGCCAAAGCCAAAGCGCTGCGAAGCCACAGGTGCCGCGTCTCAGCGACAGTTGTGTGCCATCATCTGGTCAAACAGCTTCAATCTGTCACCACTGAAATCTACTCCAGCTGAGGATTTCTTCTGACAGAGGGCACAAAGAGGCCATAGGTACGTTAGGAACAGCGGGCAGAATAGAAGACACAACTGCTTCCCTACACCCTGCTCTGTATGCCGGATGCTGGTGGGTGTGAACACAGCTCCCATCCTGGAGGAACACACTGGGAGAGGCTTGAGCTGCCACTTTTGCTGCTGGCTGTTCACTGATCACGCAATGCTGGCACTTCTGTCTCAAACAGCTTTTGGCATTTTCCTTCCAAAAAGGGAGCAGCATTAGTCAGTGTTGTGCCTCGTTCTTATCTGAATGCAACATGTATGGACATGAGGTACAGCAGCCTGGGTTTGTGGTTTTGGCAGATAGGTGCATCTGCTGGTGGGAGCTGCAGGCGGGACGAGACAAACAGGAGTGTGTCGTCTCCAATTACCCTGAACCCTATGGTTCTAGGAGTCGAGGTGGAAGGGAACCCAAGCCTTCATTTTACATTTCTTGGGTCCCTTGAAGCCTCATTGATTTGTATTTAAAATATTTGCTCTGAGATTCCATGGACTTACTTGCGACCTAAATAAGAGATGGCAATGATTAACCCAACCAACCCAGTGATAGCAGAAATAAATGTCATGCAGACTTTGGTCGGCACTCAGCTCCATGCAGGTCCTATGAAGCTGTTAGCACAGCCAAAGGTGACTCTGGTTCCTATGGGTCTTTTTTGGAAGAAGAACCCTAGATATGGACAGGGTTCAAATCCTTCACAGCCATTTCCCCTGCGGCCTCAAAACCCACATAAATGCACTGCTGAGAGCCCTTTCCAAGAGAAAGAATCCTCCTTGAAGGTGAACTGTTTTCTGCTGTATTAAGCTTTCACCGGCTGAGGAGGGAGATTACAGAGCAGATCACGGGCAGATCATCTCATTTCTTTGAAGAGTGCCACTTCACTTCCAGGAAAGCACACACATTCTGCATATTGGTGCCTGTGAGCTAAAGCCCTTTCCTTTTTCCTGCAATGGGAAACCAAGACAGCCTACCGCCTACTGTACTTCTTCCTTGAAAACAGAAAAATCAATCCGATCTCACAGGGTGGCTCCCGAAAGTGTGTTTCCCGGGCACACTCCCTGGCTGACCGCTATCCTGTTTCCTTATTGCCACCCGGGGAAAGGAAGGAGAAGCGGAGTCAGCGTCCCCTCGGCAACGCCCGCTCCCACGTTCCCCCCTCCGCCGCCCGAGCGCTGCCGGCCCCGCGCTGCTCCACCGCCGGCCGGTAGGGGGCGCCATTGCACAGCCCTCACTGCAGCGCCGTCCTCCGGCCCCGCGGCGCCGCTCAGCCCCGCGGCCCCGTGACTCAGGCAGCTCCTGCAGTCCCCCTCATTACATTAGCAACGTTTCTTCAATATGTTTTTCCCTCCGCCTCTTCTTGGTTGCACATCTGCCATCCTCTGTGGGTTTTTGTTTTGTTTTTTTTTTTTTTCTGCCTTAGTTTTGTATTTTCCAAACGCATTTCCACAGACAGCCCCCGGTACCCAGCAGGGTACTTCATAGAATCATTAAGGCTGAAAAAGAGCTCTAAGTTCCAACCCCAGCCCAGCCCACCGTGCCCACTGACCACATCCTCAGTGCCACATCCCCACTGTTCTCGAGCACCTCCAGGGATGGTGACCCCACCACTCCCTGTGCATCTGTGCATCACTGCTCTTTTGGAGACAAGATTTTTCCTAATATCCAACCTGAACCTCCCCTGATCCAACATGGGGCCACTCCCTCTCATCCTATCGCTGTTACTGAGAGCAGAGGCTGACCTCTGCCTCACCACAACCTCCTTCCAGGGTGTGTAGGGAGCGATAAGGTGTCCTCTGCACCTCCTCTTCTCCAGACTGAACCATCCCTGTTCCCTCAACCAGTGCCCACAGGACATGCTCCAGACACCGCTCCCTTCTCCTGCTGGCTGCACTATTTCTGTTAGAAGCCATTGGTTTTCTTGGCCACCTGGGCTCACTGGTGGCTCATGTTCAGCTGGCTGTAAACCAGCACCCCCAGATCCTTCACTTCAACAAGGAAGCAGGAAGTGCTAGCCTAGATGCGCCCCAGGTGCTGGGAGCAGCACACTCCAAACATGTCCATCAGGGATGCACTCAGGCTGCTGTGGGCCTGGCAGCCACACTGGGCTGGAGATGTCACCACAGCGTGGCTTTTAGCACTCACAGACAGCACAAACACAGCTCACAACTGACCCACTGCACAATGCCCTCTCACTGCTGGATTACCTTCAGCCCCAGCCAGAGAATCAGAATCATTTGAGTTGGAAGGGACCCTTCAAGGCTATCTGGTCCAACTGCCCTGCACTGAACAGGGACGCCTACAGCTGATCAGGTGCTCAGAGCCCCGACCAGCCTGACGTGCAGTGTCTGCATGGATGGGGCACCCACCACCTTTCTGGACAACCTATTAACCTGGGCCATGGCTCAGCCAAGCTCTGGGGCCTGTAAACCAGAGCAGCCCCACCTCACTCAGTGGTGCAAGACACAGGATCAAAAAATACCTCTGTGAGTACCTACCACTGTGCTCTGCTTTGGGCTTTGGTGGTATCTTCCTTGCTTTCAGCATGTGCTCCTTGAGCAGAGCGAAGACCTTGTGCTGCTGGCCCTCGGTGAGCACGCCCATGTTCCCCAGCATCCGCAGCATCCTGTGCAGCAAGAAAGGCCTCAGCTTGTGCCGCACCATCTTGAGGGGACTGACGTACATGTTGGGTATTTTGGGTAGCTTGGCATCCCGATCACAGTTGTACAATCGAAAGAGGTTCCAGGCCAAGCCAGGTCCAAAGATATCCACTGAAATATATCTGGAAAGTTTGAGGAGCACATCACAGGACAACTGCTTCTCTTGTGACTTCTGGCCCAGGTTCTGACTTAGGGAACTTCTGCTGGTATTGGGACGGAGGAAGGGGCTGGGTCTGTGTGGTTCCACAGTTCCAGACAGGGTGCTTTGACCATGCAGCAGTTCTTCATGTTCCACATCCCACCACGAGCTGCTGGGACCCAGGCTATGCTCTGAAATAGTCATAAATACAGCAAAGCTATTACACATGAGCAATGAAGAATCCTGGTGGGTCTATATACACATACACACACACTTCTATTAATGTTTTGCAGTGTCCCTGGATGCACCACAAGTTGTTGAATCACTTTGACAAACTCACTGTGTGCTTCTCCAGGTGAAATCAATATATTTGCAATGGGCAGATTTTGAGGTACAATAGTGGGATAATATGTATATAATTAATGTTTTCTATAATGCTTTATATGCATTCTAAAATGTTTATAACATTCTCTATAATGCTAAATGGCTGAGGAAAGTCATTGCCCTGATGCAACAGGGTTAGGCTGTGGCTTCCTCCTATGGACAAAAAGCATTGCTGTAGGAGATTTGGGGCTCCGTGGAGCTTGTACTTGCTTTGAGGCAAATATGTAACTACTCCCACACAGCACTCCTCCATCCAGGCTGAGCCTGAAGGTTCAATTTACACCCTGAGAAGTGACCGATAAAACAATTAAATTCAGCATCATTAGGCTGCGACCTTGCTAGAGACTCAGGAACATCCATGAAAGCTCTACTGATGGAAAAGGATGAGGAACCTGAAGCTGAAATGCATCCTGCCCACAGAGTTTGGAACAGTTAATGCTTTAGCATAAGGACATACCACTGAATGCTGGAGGTCACGTCCCTGAGCCCTGGAATGTGCCCGCAGTGCTCGTGCTCATTGCTGAGCAGCAGATGAAATGTTCCATTTCCTACAGGTCCAGCATGGCTGGGAAGCTTCAAATATTTTCTATTTGATTTCAAGATTGGAGTTATCAGCCTCAAGTAGTTGTGGTTTACCATCCAGGGGATTATTTGCATGTTTTAACCAAATTGGTTATATATCACACCGCTGTGCTAGAGGATTATGTAGCAAAGTGCACATTTATGGCTGTAATTCATCACTGAAACATAACCCTGTGCTACTGGGAAACGGCAAGATGTGACCACCGAGACCAGATGGCAGCAGGTAATTCAGGAGCATCCTAACGGCTGCAGCACTTTGCATCCTTCATTCAGAGCAATCCAGACATTACGAGAGAACAAAGCACCGCGTAAAGCATGACTTCGATCGAACAGAACTTCGGATGCTAAAAAAGCTCCGAGGAACTAAAGAGAAAGGGAACGAAAGGCCGATCGCACGCAGCCACGTCCAAAGCCACAAGCAAACCGCGGCGCCCAGCAGAGCCCAGGCGGGCGGTCAACCTCCAGCTCCCTCCCTTCGGGCAGCCGTCGGTGCCGGCAGTCGCACCCACCTCCCGGCAGGGGCAGCCCCAGTCCTGCACGCAGCTCCCATCACCGCCTTTAGGGCAGCCCCCAGCCCAGCCGTGCTTCAGACGGCAGCACGAGTAGCCCCGGGCCGGAGCGGCACCGCCTTCCTCTACCTCTCTCCTCCTCCCCCCACCAGCACTGCCCACCCCCCCCCCCCCCCCCCGCTCCCCGGAGGCCGTCACCGTATCGCCGCTGCCTGGGGACGCTCCTCGCCGCCTCGGGTCGGGCTCCCAGCACCGCCACCAACACCAGCACCAGGGTGCAGCTCCTCGGGGGGCCCGCGGCCGTCCCCAGCCGGGGGGGGGCACCTGCAACACACACGCGGCGTTGGGTCGAGTCGGGTCGGTCTCCCGCTGCTTCCCTCCCTGCCCCTCGCCGTTCTGCCTCGCTCACCCGGCGGCATGTAGGGCTGCCGGAGCCGCGCTGGATGGATGCTCTGTGGCTGCCGAGGCTCCTCCAGCCGCTTTCAGCGCAGCTGTGCCCGCCGCCCCCGGGGAAGCTGCAGGCACGGGGCGCGCACTGCCCACCCCGCGGCTCCTGGCAGCCCTACAGGGCGGGCAGCGTACCCACAGCGCAATGAAATCCTGAAAGCAGCACGTTTACCCTTACAGGAGAACAACCTGAAGAGGTGAGGGCTGTTCTTTTCTTTTTTTGAGAGAGAGAGAGAGAGAGAGAGAGACAACATGCCACCACAGTATGGTTAGATTGCAGTTGGACTTGATGATCTTGAAGGTCTTATCCAACCTGAGCGATTCCACACATGCTGCTCCAACATTTTCTGTAGAAATACTTTGGTTTCTGCAAACTCACACCTGGCAGAGACAAGCAGCACTGCTGCCCCAAGGAGCAGCTCGTCTCTGCTGTAACAAAGTTGTGAGACCCAAATATTTCACAGCTGAAAGCAATCTCTCAGTCTGAAACCCAACTCAGTTTGGAGGAAGACGTCCTGCAGGACTTGGAAAGCAATACAGGTGCAGCAGGTAATTTGGGGCTTGGCCCATCCACCACCAGAACCATTCTCCTCTTCATCAGCACCAGGACAAACCACCACGGTCACAATGCAAATTACAGCACCGGATGGTGGGGGATTGCACCAAAAAGAAAGGGTGGGTATGGAGAAATCTGTGAAGTGGACGTAAATAAGATCATTAATTTACGAGAGCAGAACTGGGGAAAAGGATTTTCCAGATGAGAATAAAGGTTTAGTGCTCAGTAAATAACCCCGGGAAGAGTGGGTTGTTTCTTTACTGTGTTTAACACCAGATAGTAAAAGCAAATGTGATATGGGTTTATTAAAGGGATGGACAACACTGCGTGTAAATACGGGTTTGGGTATTTCCATAGCAGATGGGTCAGTGCCTGGAGCAGAGCTGCCCCACACTGCAGTAGGAC